TGGAAAGTCGCTTCAGAAAAATCTGATTATGTTTTCCCTCAAATGAAAAACCATTGAAAAAGATTTGATATTACACATGACACAAGTTGATTCGATACAGTGATGTTACAAACAATTTTTTTCAGCTAAGTTGCGTTCCACAGGATCAGTCGACTGCGTGTTTTAGTGCCACACCTATATTTCTGTTTTGACGATATTTTCTTTGCTTCGCATACAATAAACTCACGGACTTATAATTAGAGGAAATATAAGTCGTCACAAAGTGTAAATCACGTTTGCATTTCCTGCTGAGGCAAGCCGACTCGTCTCAGTAAGGTAGGCGCAAATGCTGCTACAACGAGATGAATTGAGTTAGTGATTCACAGCGACATCTTTTACTTGTCAGTTAGCTTTTTTCTTCAAGAAATAAAGTTCTTTGAACAATTGGGTCGTGTAATATGCATTTAAATATAAACTTAACTGCTTTTTTAAGTTAAGAATTTCAACCAATCATCAATCTTAAGCGTTAAGCTTAAGCAAAAATCTTAAGCGTTTTAATCTCACCCTCAAAAGGAGAAATAAAAAATAAATTGTTAGTTAAGGAGCTTGCCCAATAAAAGTTGTGTGAAACGTATGGCATTAATGCACTCAGTGCCATTACGTTGGCTATTGTAGAGTTCCAGTCACAATTTTTCATTGGTTGAAATAAGCCAGACTAAAAGTAGCTATCCTTAAAAATTCAAAATCTGAAAGGTGACTGTGTCGGTCAATGTGTGCAATTCGTTATACAAGAGAAAACTTGTATATCTCAAGCGCACATCCGTAAGCTAAACTTCGAGAGGTAACTTCGAAATCTGTTAATTTATTTTTATGACTGCCTTCCGCCGTGCACTCTCAACTCTCCCTCCTTCTGTCATGTGTCATCGTTCACCGTCCACCACCCAAGTTAATGACGTGATACTCGAAGGACATCTGACGGATTCGAATATAGAAGAATGAGTTAATAAACAATTCTTTCCTTCTGAACAATTTTTCACAAATTACCATATGTCAGCATATTTTTTACACCATTTCTGGGACCACACTATGTATCTANGAATTTTTAAGGATAGCTACTTTTAGTCTGGCTTATTTCAACCAATTTCTGGGACCACACCATTCCACTACTTGCGAACTGAGAGAATAAACAGTAAAATCGACCGATTAGTAGAATTATAAATCAGTCAAGTATCATGTTCTGACTGGTTCAACTCCCACTATCAACCGACTCGTCAAAATTATTGTTTCGGTGTTGTATGTTTGTACTACGACTAGTCAGTAGTACAAACAAGAAAAGAAAACGGTGAATGAGTGATTTTATGATTTCGACTAGTCGCGAACTGATCGACTAGTTACCGGCTAGTCGAAAAAACGACGACTAGCCGATGTTGATGAGCCGATGTTCGACTAGTTAAGAATTCCGACTAGTCGATAATCGGACTACATACCGACTGGTCGGCAAAAATCTCGACTGGTCGAAAAAGAACTTTCGACATTTCCGACTTGTCGGTATACTAGTCGATTCTGATTTTACGTTCACTTCGGGAGAAAGAAACAGTTACCGTAAAGTTAACTAACTGATAGTTACCGTAAAGTTAACTAACTGATAGTTACCGTTGTTTTAACGGTAACTGTGTTTTCAGTTAGCGTTAAACCAATGGTAACTGAAAAGACAGTTACCGTTAATTTAACGCTAACTGATAAGTCAGTTACCATTATTTTAACGGTAACTCGAAAGGCAGTTATCGTTAAAGTAACGGTAACTGTTACCGTTGTCCACAACGGACGAAGAAGTAACGGGAACTTTTACAGTCCTAGTCTGGAGGTTAAGGTAGAAATCTGCCAGTTTTTCTATAGATACATAGTCCAAAGTGTCTTATGTGTAACTCCTTAATTGTTCGTGGTTCAGATCTGACATCGAATTTCCTGAGAGTCCCATGATCGATATTTCTTTATGGGTGGTAATTCCGAAAACGAATGGAAACACAGATAATCGACACACTGACGAGGGAACCTCTCGAGGTGATTAAAAGCTTTTCGACTCAGACTATTTTGGTCATGTAGGGAATAGTCAACAGTGAAAAACCCAAGTTGGTTTGGCGCCTTTTTGACGGAGATATGAGTTAATTAATAAAATTGCCATTAATAATAATTAATTAATCGCTCACGACCATGATCCGCTAGGAGTTGGAAATTTTCACCACAGTTGAAGATAGATGTTGTCTACTCACTGCGACACTTTTAAGCTTATAAACCAAAGCTTTTGCAGGATATAAATTTTTTATGATTTAGACAGTTTAAATCATAAAAACTGTCTAAATCATAAAAAATTCATATCCTACAAAAGCTTTGGTTTATAAGCTTAAAAGTGTCGCAGTGAGTAGACAAAATGTATCTTCAACTGTGGTGAAAATTTCCAACTCCTAGCGGATCATGGTCGTGAGCTATTAATTAATTATTATTAATGGCAATTTTATTAATTAACTCATATCTCCGTCAAAAAGGCGCACAGGCCCGAACCAACTTGGGGTTTTTCACTGCCGACTATTTCCTTTGCACGTGTCATGGCGTTTCATTATCCTTTAATGATGCTCGGGTATCGCTTCTTCTTTCTCTGTTTAAACTTGAAACGTCAATCCAATTCATACTATCTCCTGCACTCGACTCTTATCAATCGCTTCCAATGAACTGTCGCCGCAGATTTACTGAAATGTTGTTATGGCTACATGACAATTAGAATTCATTTGAATAAATATTCTCGGGAATATCGAGTGATTTGTGCTGTTTGCGGATACCACCTCTAAAGGAAACATCTTCACAGCACATCAAATAGAAAAGGCCTTTTCAGTTCATGTTTGAGTCTCCTAATCGTAGGATGGGTCGATGAATAATATCGCTTGTAAATAATCAAGGATAATCTATAATTTTTCAGACTTTGATTGAAATCTCCCATCTCCACATAGAAGTGTCCGATGGTTTCGTACAGATTCGCGGTGACTAAATCACCATGAGAACTGGTCTTTCGTTGTTGATCAAGCAATTGCTGAAAATAGATAACTCCATCACTGAAGTTTCCTCTGTTCAAAAACAGATGTCTGATAATCGTACAGGTATCGACGATAGATGGATGTTTCCATGGTAAAGTTTTCAGCTGATTAGCTAGTAATCTTTGAAAATAGAGCAAGGCTTGGCTCAAATGCCGCTTTTCGAAATGAGCTTGTTGAACAGCTTTGTCCACATCTTTTAGAGTTGGTGTTCGATGGGTTCTATTCTCGTATAATTTTCCAATCGAGCGTTCCGTTTGATGAAAATGATGATGATGATTCAGGTGAATTTTTCCCATAATCTCATATGCTTCCGCCAGCCTAGTATGGTCAGATGATTTTCGTCGCAGTTGACAGTCGAGTAACTGATTGGCATACACCAATCCTTGATCGAAGTCATTTTTCTGACAGTAAATATTTGCTAGAGTCTTGTAAAGATCGATCAACGTTGAAGTTCTCATTGAGTGTTCCTTCAAGTTTTCTTCTGATAATTTACGAAGATAGATCAACGATTGATGGAAATCACGTCTTTCAAGAGAGATAGCCGCAAGTATCTTGTAGAGATCAAGCAATGAAAATTGATTGTACGAGGGATTATTGAGCAGCTGTTGGAAATAGTAAAATACGTGGTCTACATGCTTCTTCTCAGCGTGAACACTATCTTTTGATCCTGTTGGATCATCAGTCAATATTTGGGAGCGATCAAGAACTTCGCCCAATGTTTTCTTCAGATAGATTTCTCCCATCTTCTTATATACATCATCTAATAGTGATTGATCCAGCGGCATTTGTTGCAAGTGGCAACCGATCAATCGATCGTAGTAAAGTAAACTTTGATCGAAATCGTGTTTTTCCGCATGCACCAGAGCCATCATTGAATAAATGTCGATGAATGAGATATCGTGCAACGCTTTCCTTTGCAGTTCGCTCTTTATCAGTTTATGGCAATAGGTTAATGTTTTATCCAACTGCTGTCTCTCATAGTAAATGTTGGCAATCGTTTTGTAAGTATCGACTAATGATGAATCTTTCGATGATTTTCGCTGCAGTTCATTTTCTAACAAGCGCCGATAGTAGAGTGATGCTTGCTCGAGGTCATGGATCGCGAAGGAGATATTTCCGAGAACTTTCAAGGTTTCGATCAAGGATGCATCATCTTGTGGCACCACTTTCCCCTGATCGTCCAGACGTTGCTGAAAATACTGTCGAACACGATTCAAATGTCGTTCTTTGACATTGGTGTTGCCACTAGTTTGATCCAATTGAGGTGATAATTGATGATCTGCTGATCGATGATCGATGGATTTTGTGTAGTCGTCCAATAGTTTATCCAATGGTGTTCCTAGATAAATTTTTCCCATCGTGGCATATATGATGTGAAAAACCGAATCAGTATTGTGCTTCAGTGGCAATTGGCAATCAAGGAATCGATTGTAATGAGATAAGGCTTGATCGAAGTCACGCTTTTCTAAATGAATATCGCCAATCACTTTGTATTTATCGGCCAGCGATGGATCTTCTGGGGTTTTGATTTCCAATTCATTGCTCAGTAATTTATCAAAGTAGGCAAATGCTTGATCAATGTCATGTTTTTCCATGGCGATGTTTCCTAGGATAGCATAGATATCCGTTAAGGATGGATCGTTTGATGGCAGCCTTTTTAGCTGATCATCCAGAAGTTGTTGAAAATACTCGTATACTTGATCGAGATGTCTTTTTTCGAAATGAACATTGCCAATTCTAGTGTGAGTATCGAGTAACGATCCATCTGTCCCTGACTTCTCTGGTGTTTCAATATTGGTCGATCGATCGAATTGAATGAATGTTTGATCAAAAGGCTTTTTCAGATAAATATTTCCGATCATTGTATATAAATCAATGACGGCTGATTCTGAGAAGGGTCGGGCTTGCAATTGACAATCAAGCATGCGATAATAGTAAATCAATGCTTGACGAAAATGTTGTTTTTCACAATAGATGCCGGCAATGAGTTGGTATGTGTGAAAGAGAGACATGTCTTCTACCACTTTTCTTTCTAGCTCATTACCGAGAAGTTTGTGGAAGTACTTCAATGCTTCGTCTAAATCATGTTTTTTCATATTCGTATCACCAATCAGTTCATACATCTCGGTCAAGGCTGGATCGCCAATCCTCTTTCTTTCCAAATGGCTGTCAAGAGTTTTATGGAAGTAACTTAATGCCCCATCATAATCGGTCTTTTTCAAGAGAACTTTTCCAATCAGTACATAAGTGTCACACACTGCTGGATGTTTCGCTGATAAAATTGTAAGTTGATTTTCGAGTGACTGATTGAAATGAGACAGTGCCTTATCAAGATCCCCTATTTTTAAATACAAGTTGCCAAAGTTTCTATAAGTTTCTCCAAAATCTGAATGATTGTGTGGTAAGGATTGTGTTTGAATTGCGAAAGCTTTTTGAATAAATGCGAATGCCTGTTTGTCATCATTGAGGTCTAAATACATTAACCCAATAGAATTGTAAGTGTATCCCAGATCGGGATGCATTGGGCCGAGTGCTTTGGCTTGAATTTCAATTGATTTGCGAAACATGGCCAAAGCTGATTCTTTCTGGTTCAATAAAGCATAGATTTTACCAATATTACGATATGTGTTCCCGAGCAATGACTGTCGACCATTCAATAGCCTTTCCAGACATTTATACTGGTATTCCAATGCCAGTTTATAATTTCCTAATTGAAGTTCGACGTCTGCTAAACCTGAATAACTTGTGGAAGGGTCATTGTTTTTTGTGATTAATGCTTGATTGTAATGCCTCAATGATTGCAGATGATCGCCTTTCTTACAATATGCAGCTCCAAAATCATTGTAACATTGCGATACAAGAACGTGATTTGCCGTAGCAGGATTCTTTTGTAGGTACTCGAGAGCAGTTTTCAGGTTTTTCAATGCCATATTAATATCACCCTTTTTGATATTCACTTGGGCTAATCCATGATAGCAAGCAGCCAAACTATATTCATCAGTGATCAATCGATTGTCCAAGAGCGTCTCGTAATGAGTTTCGGATTCATCAAATCTTTGCATCTGAAGTAGATGACGACCGAGTGCCACCAGCTGGTCTTTTTCGTCCGCATCCTTTGCTAACATTAACAGGCATGCTGTTAAGTCATCATCATCATCGCCACATAGGGTGAGATGAACCTTTGAAATTCTCAGATCTTTATCCTCCACAATTTCATTAATGCGAAATACACATCCGAATGCGAAAAGAATTTCTTCTTCTTTCTGAAATGCACTCAATAGTTTGATGTCGGCATATGGTCGCGCTAAATTAACAGTGTAGACATCTATTTCCAATAAAATTGATGCCAATGTATCAGTTGGTGGTGGACTTGATGTAACGAATTTCAAAGCTTCCCTACGATTTGTACTGGTTGACAAGAATGAGTTCATCGCAATTAATTCACCAATAGAAGATCTCATCCTTATTAGTTCATCTTTGCTTATAAATTGTCCCCGATAAACTGTAAGAATAGGCGTGCGCAGGTTTCGAATGAAAGACACTTGTTCCTTTGATAGTTGCCAATATATATCATGGATCAACGAGCCAAAACCCAGAATATGATCTACATGTAGTGTTCGCAAAGCTTTGTTTAGCATCTGATAAATACAACTCTCTCGAGTGTACCAGTGGATGGCTTGATTTGGCTTGTATGTACGATCGTATTCGATCATTGTGCGTTGATCGTTTTCGTCATCGGGCTGAAAAAATTCGTACAGCGCTGGTTGATTCCGGGTCTTGTTGTGGTTTTTCTTTAACACAATTCTCAGGATAAGTTGATACAGAATGAATTCACTATTCAAAGAATCGTGCATGCTCTGCATGTCTTTCGCACTGAAGACATTCGTGCCCGTCCGATCGGCTCGTCTTATATTTTCGACCTTAGATTTACGTTTCCACATTTGAGCAGATTGCATCACGGTCGAATATCAGTCACGCTATGAGAACAGTAATCTAGAAACACAATTAGACAGGCAATAAGATTCTTAGCTTAATCTCGAACTATCGTCGAGGATAAAGAGACGAGTTGCTGTCCACTCATTCCTTATTCACAACCGTTTTTCTCGATCGAAGGTGTATCGATACTTCCGAATCGATCTTACTCATTCATTTGCAGGAGTTCGAATACAAAAAATATCGAGCTACCGCTTTCAATGCTACAAGCATAAATCTGTATGATACATTTACTTACGGAAGTGCTCATCCAGCTCTACGAACTAGGATTAACTCAGCATCACTCACCGCTAATCATCGCACTCCATCCATGTTTCTGCGACATACTGAGAAGTTGTTTCTGTCCCGGGATAGAACAGAGAGATACATAGCTTAGTTTCCATAAGCAAAATCATTGGGGCGATTCATTGCTGTTGCGTCGAAAGCGTTTGATCGACACTTCGATTAAGAATCACGAAAAGTCCTTAAACTGACGAACGGTGCTGGGTAAGCGCTATCAAGTTTTGAATGGATTTTTCTAGCAACAAGAAGTCGTGGGTAAAGCTGGAAGTTTCAAGAGGTAAATGATTGTGCACTTTGTAAGGTATCATTAAAAGGATCACGTTGGACGGTGTACTGCATTGACTCTTCAGGCATTTTAGACAAGGAATACTTGATAAAATGCTGCATACTCGTCAGCAATCGACCACCCGGAGTACTGCTCAGTGTATTCACTTCTGATATTGCATGTTTGATTTTCTTTTCCTTTTTGAACAATAAGTGCGAAGAAAAGGATGAAAAATGAAAGTGTTCGCCGTACAAGCAAGTGCAGTTTTTTCTAAACTTATTTGAAAAGCGTTTACCGTTGCTTTTCCCAATCGATGTTCAGCTCAGCGTCCGCCAAGAAGTATTAACCCTTTGAGTGCCGGGTTTTTTAAAATGAGAAGTCGAAATTTTCATAGAGAATCTTTCAAGGTAGTTTCTATTTCGTCTCAGGAAACCATTAGTAGTTTATTTTTGTATGACAATCTTTGGAACAATCAACAATATATAGAGATGCATCATAGTCAGGACAATAATATCTTGTATTACGGCGTATATTATGGAATACGCAAAAAACAGATCGCCGCTGAGGCTTCTTTGCATGACATGGCGTCGAAATTTTCATCACTGTGATTGGGAATGTAGAGCAGTGAGACGAAGAGAAGAATCTCTTGTCGATGCTCTCCCAACAGTACCTGGTCTTTGTGGACCGTGCTTTGCCAATATTTCTCTAATTATCTCAAGTCGAACATCAGATAGATGAAAGAAGATATCGCCGTGAATTTTGCAAATTGCGAAGGCGTTGCATACGGCCATATCCAAACGATGAAAGAAAACCTTCCTATATCATTTTATCGATTTTCGGAGGCATTTTGAGAACGACACGCATGTCAGCTTGAAATGTGCGACTATTATCCAAAGTAGAATATACTCGGTTCAATTCTGCTTTTGTCTTTTACTACTTTGGAGATTAGTAT